GGCAGACCCTGTGGCCCAAAGACCCTTGAGTTGTCATCGCTCACCCACATAATTGGGCTAAACTTGTAGTTCCAGCCCAGAGCAGAAGCAACAGAAAATCTACTGATAAGGTAGAACATGAGCATTACAGAGTCCCTGCATTCAAATCATCGCTTTGCACTTTCCAGCACTGGGACCTTGGTTCAATTACCTGAATTTTTATGTCCTTAATTTCCCTACTATTTTTATGAAGTATTTTTTATTAAATTTTTGTGTGTTTCATCCAATACATCTTAATCATATTTATAGCTTCCCCTGTCTGTCTCCCTAAAGCCTTTCCACAGGATTTCATGCATTCTGTCATATTTCTCAAGGCCTACTGAGTCAAGTTTGTGTACCCAGATGCCGCTCAATGTGAATTTATCCACTAGAGTCTGTTCAGCCTATGTAGTATCACTCGCTTAAAGATTGACTCTCTCATGTAGCAGTGATCGGTTGTCAATAGTTCCTCAGTTAAGACGGGGCCTTCTGTTTATTTCCCCAGTTCTATGCTGAGTTTTGTCTGGTTAGGTTTGCATGGGTCTTGTGCATGCTGTCACCATTGCCGTAAGTTCATATGAGCAGGTTTCCAGAAGCCTGGAAGAGTCTGTTTCTTTATGGTCATGTACCACCCCTGGCTCTAACAATCTGCCACCTCTTCCACAATGGTTCCTGAGACCTGGGTGGGTGAGATTTAATGATATCTCAACTTTTAATGATGATGAGTCACTCCTTTCAGAAGTTTGTGATGAGGATTAAAGTTTTAACTTTGAATAGTCCTTACTGTGTGGCTGATACTTGAATGAGTAAGATATGTTCCTCTATTCTAATGGGAAAAGCAAGAGTTCTGTTTATTGTTCTTAAGGGACAGAGGACCTAGAATTCATACACAACATTGTGCAACACTTTTAAAAGATGATATTTTTGTGACAGTTGGTGGTGAGTGCTTTGCTAATCTAGTTTTCAAACAAACAAACAAAGAAAAAAACCCTCTCTACAGAATAGATATGGTAGCTGTTAGCATGGGTGACATGGTTTACCTCAAGTAAGCTGGAAAACATGATGCCCCAGACACTGTTCATACAGACATACTTTAGCTCCAGATTTTGCCTTGTCCATCCTTTCATGGAACATTTTTATTTCTATTGTTAAGGAAGAACAGTAACAAAAAAATCCTCTGTCTGGCCTTCTGAATTGTGTTGTCTACTCTCTAATGCTAGATAGAATGTACAGCTATTGGTTGCCTGTCAGAAGCCTGACTTGGGAAAATGTTAGTTTGTTATAGCATTTTTATTGGGAAAACATCATCTTGGTTTCCATAATAAACTGGGAAGACTACATTATTGCTACATTATCACAAAAGAAGAGGAAATGAGGGAAAAAAGATGACTTTTCTACCAAAAAGTCTTAATTTTTAGACAAAACATATACAGACGAAAGGGATTCATGAACAAAGGACATGAGGAGAATGAGTGGTGGTGAAAATGCTGACCAGGAGGGGAGATTAAGGAAGACACAGAGATGAATTCCTGGACTTGAGAGAAGCCAACTTGGACTTTGAAAGCAAGATTCAAGTCATCTCTAGACAAAGCACCAAGAGAAGCAGAAGCTAGCTTCAGTGGAACCAAAACCTTCTATTTGAAATGAATCATTATGATAGGTTGATTTCATTTGGAGCTGAGGAGATGCCTCAGTAGGTAAGAACATTTGTTGGCAAGTATAAGACCATGAGTTCAAATCTCTATACCAATGTAAAAAGCCAGGGGTGGTGCTCCGGGGATTGTGGGGGTGGGGGGCATTAGGATAACTGGGACTTGTTGGGTGCCAGACTAGATCCAGGTTCAGTTCAGTAAGATACTTTGTGTCAAGAGAATAAGGTGAAGAGTGACAGAGTCGGCACCCTACCTGATTTCCTATATAATGCACACCTGCACACACACACAACCATATAGTACACACATGTGGAAAGAAGGAAAGGAGGAAGAGAGAAAGGAAGGAATGAAGGAACGAGGGAAACAAAAGTGAAAAGAAAAACAAAGGTGGTTTCACTGCAAGTTGACGTTGTCTGGCTTGTGTATAACATTTTCAGGCCCTCTGTCCCGCCCTCCCTCCCTCCCTTCCAGAGACAGAGTCTTATTCTGTACCCACTATAGCCTCAAACTCAAAGTGATCCTTTGAGTTCATTTCTCTCAGTGTCAGAATTATAGGAAAGTGCCATGATGCCCAGTTTATGTAGTGCTAAGGACTAGCCTCAGGGCTTTATGCATGCTAGGCAAGCATGCTACCAACTGAACCAATCCTCAGCCCCTGCATTTTCTTTGTAAGAAATTTTCCTAAAACATATCTGTGGCTTTCAAAACCTAAGAGACCGTTAAGGTAATGTTTGAAGATGAGAAAGAAAAGAGCTGGGTGTGGTAGTACACACCTACAATCCCAGGACTAGATTACGAGTTCAAGGCCAATCTTGATTTGAACCTACAAGAGATTGTGTCCACCCTGACCTACATGAGACCTTGTTTCATAAAAAGAAAATGTGAAAGATTAAAAATGCTCTCCTCTTTTATGTTAATAAAGATGTTGGGAAATCAGTGGGGCGTAGGCAGCTGGAATGAGCCTTGGGGACCTGCTTGTCCTTTTAGTCCAAATACTGGTGTGAGGTACTATAATTTTTGGAACAAAGGGTTTCAGGGGTAATATATGGATAGTAAATGAGAGAAAATTTCATAGCTCTGATTGCAGAGTTATTGGTTCCTAAAGACCACTATCCTGATGATTCTGGACAATGTGGTTAAGGGATATGTAAACTATTGTTTGAGCTGGTTCCTTACAGCACTATTTATAGGAATAGAAGTCTGGAAACAAGGTAGATATCTTTTCCATAGTCAAATTAGGATAAACTAGGGTTTGATAAATAATACCTTATGATACTGGTTAGGATACAAATTCAAACTTTGTTAGTAAGCAATATATCAAAATTACATTAGAATGTTCCAAACTTTGTTCTTACTTTGTTAGGATTTAATCCTTTGGAACACAAAATCCAAAATTAAATTTTGCTACTTGCTTGATTTTCAAGTTAAGTCACCCATTATCACGGAAGAGGCCACTTCTAATTTTATTAGAGGGGTGATGAACAAAACCAAGATGATTCTTTTCTTTGCTTCATTTTCGTTCTTTGCCCTCCTATCCCATATCCTGTTTCCACATGACAACCCTTCATAAAGGGCAATTTATTTTTACAGTAAATTAATATTATGATGTATCTCTACTTAAATTCTGTGGTGGTTGGAATTAGAAATATCCTCAATAGCCTCAGGTTTCTGAACACTTGGTCCCCAAATGGTGGTTCTCTTAGTTCAAGTTATAGGTCGGTGCAGCCTTGCTGGAGGAAGTATGTCTCTGTGGGTGGGCTTTGAGGGTATGCAGCCTTGCCCCATTTCCCCTTCATTCTCTCTACTTTCTGTGTGATAAAATGTCATCAGCTAGTTTCCTGTTCCACTTACCTGCTACCTGGCCCCCACTTTATGGACTTTCCCACTGGAAATTTAATCCAAAATAAATTCTTACTTCTATAAGTTCCTTTTGGTTATGATATTTTATCATAGTAACTTAAAGGAAACAATGCAAATTTTAAATTATTTGTAATTATTTAAAACACTATGGTGGGGCTGGGGAGATGGCTTAGCCATTGAGACCACTGAGAGTACTGGCTGTTCTTGCAGCACCCACATAGTAGCTAATAACTGTCTGTAACTCCAGTTCCAGGGGATCCAACACCCTCTTCTGTCCTCTGTGGACACTGAATGACACAGATGCACTTACATACATGCAGGCAATGCATGCATACAATAAAATAAAAATAATAAAACAAAAATTTAAAAATATATAATGCTAAGATTGAGCATGTGATGCACACCTTTAATTCCAGTACTCAGGAGACAGAGGCAGGTGAGTTCTGAATTCTAGGCCAACCTAGTCTACACATTAGTGAGTTCTCTTTAGTCAAGGATATGTAGTGAGACCCTGTCTCAAAAATAAATAGATAATCAAAGAAATATATGTGTATGCCTAGCTTCAGCATGATATCAAAAACAAATACAGGCCAGTGTGCATAAACAATACTTCTGCAAATATAAATATCCAAATGTACACAGCTCCCTCTCAAAGCTCTCAAAGCTAAAGCCCTATCTAAACTCTAAAATAACAGTGTCTATAATAGGGAATTATAATGCAATTCAGTTTAATGAGGCCATGTAGATGAGACTCATGGTTAAATTTGTATCCTTGTGAAAATTAGAAGAGAGACCAGGTCTCTCCTTTCTGCCATGTGGGAATACAACTGAATGGCAGCCATATGAAATGCAGGGAAAATAACCTCACCAGAAATCAGATCTGTTGGTACCTTGATCTTACAAGTTTCTTAGCCTTTGGGACTGCACATACATCACAGCTGTTTAAGTTGCCAGTCTATTGAATTATGTTACAGCAGCCTGAGCAGAGTATAGCCATGCATATGCATATACATGTCAATACACAGCATATGTCTAGAATGTTAAGTGAGAACGCAGGACCTCTGGTTGTGTCCCATATGAGAAGAAGGAATTGAAAACTTGAAATAAGGAAAGGAAGGTGATCTACATTTAGACTAAATAAGATCTAGATATTTATACTGAAAATCTTTATTGAATATGTAAGGTATATGTATAAAATGCCCTCATCAATAAAAATGACTGTTACTTCCTTTCAAAATGTCTGCCTCACAGGTTCATATAAACCCAACACAGGAACTCTCACAAAACTCCTGAAGTTCATTAATCTTAATGATCCTTTAGGGGTTTATGAAGAAACTGAGGATGCAAGTTTTAAGATGCTCTTAAAATGTTTACTACTGCAGGGTCCTCTCCTGTCCTAGGAGAAGTGGCTATCCCAATGCTCCATGTTAAGTGAAATCTTAATTGGCCAAGAAATAATATAAGACTTACCAGTAGAACCTATTTGGTACCACCGCTTCTTGGATAAGCTGCCATCTTCTTCCAAATTCAGCAGAGCTGTATAACTAGAGAGAAAAGAAATTAATGAGGATCATGGTCCTAGCATACACATAAGTTCTCTAAATCAGTAACAACAACATTTGTCATTTATTGGGCATCGATCATATACAGTTGAGTGCTTCATTTACATCACCTCTGTTTCTCACATGAATTCTTCAAAGCAGATGTTGACATCTCCATTGTATACTTGAGGGCAGTGAGCTTCAGCAAGATTAAATGATTTGTTACAAATCACATACTTCGTAAGTAGCAGAGTGACCTAGAATTCATACATTTTCTGTCTGGTAACAATATCATCTATCTCACTTGATAAGGTAAACAATATAATCCCTTTTCTACTACGTGTAGTAGAAAGAGGGAAAAGTAGGCTTAACTCTGGAAGAACACATAGTGTAACCTGGACCTGATGTAAAACAAGAAGATGCTGGAGGCAGTCAAAGGTAAAGAATGCAGAGGAGAGCAAAGTTAATCAAGGGTAGTTCTCAAATATTTATAGAAACAGTTGGACCCTAAACTATGACAAGATTCAGATTGGTGTTACAAAGGGCAGAGCAAAGTGGTGAGACAGACAGAGCCAAGACGTGAATAAACTGGCCTATAGCAGTAAGTTTGGATGGGTATGCGAAGGGAAACGTAGAAAAGGCTTTAAATACCAAGTTAAGGAGACCAGAATGTATCCCACAGACAATAAATCACCAATGTTAGTCTTTGTAACAGTAACCAAAAGAAACTCAGGTTCTATAACCTCAGTCCGCATAGACCAAGCCCTTACCATAATCCATTTTTGCATACATTATCTCATTTACCCCCACACCATCTCTGTGACATACAAAGTTACTGTGGTCATTTTACAGATGGCTCCCCAGCGGGTAAGGTTTAAAATCCCTTTACTATACCAGTTCAGTGCTCTCCAGAGGAAACCGCTTGCAGGCTCATGAGGTAAAGACTTACCCACTCCCACCCCGAACACACACACATACTCCATCTTCCCAATCATCCTTCTTCCATTCTGTTGTGATTTGCTGTTTCGTGCTACTTCTCCTTCCTGCTCAGATAATCTTCATGTCATCTCAAAAGTGGCCTCTTATGGAAACTTTGATAACCTTCTTTCTCTAGGTACCTGGTTGCTATGGGCAGTTGACTACTTTCCTAGTTTGTTCTCTTCATTGCTGTGACAAAACACTCTAACCAGTACCAACTTGGGGAGGAAAGGGTTTATTTGTCTTACATCTCCCAGGTCGCACGCAGTTCATCAGGGAGCCCAAGGTAGGAACTCAGGGCAGGAGCCTGGAGGCAGGAGCTGGAACACAGGCCATGGAGGAATGCTGCTTACAGGCTTGCTC